GGGGGGGCCAACTTCCCTTCCCTCTTGCCACTGGCCCCCCCATAGTGTGGGGGGGCCACGGCGCTTGGTGCTACGGCCAGTGCCGAGGCAAATGCGAGTGCTTTCCATCCCACCTTTTTTTTTGGTGCCTCATCCCCCCCAAAACGGGGCGGAGTGTTGCCACACAAAGGCCCCCCCCCACCTTTGGGGGGGGTCCAGTTGCGTGGAGGGTGGCCCCCCCCCTGTGGGGGGGCCAACTTCCCTTCCCTCTTGCCACTGGCCCCCCCATAGTGTGGGGGGGCCACGGCGCTTGGTGCTACGGCCAGTGCCGAGGCAAATGCGAGTGCTTTCCCTCCCCCCCTTTTTTTTTGGTGCCTCATCCCCCCCAAAACGGGGGGGAGTGTTGCCACACAAAGGCCCCCCCCACCTTTGGGGGGGGGGCCAGTTGCGTGGAGGGTGGCCTCCCCCTGTCGGGGGGGCCAGGCTTATATATGGAGAATGCAGAGGCAAAATGCAACAGATTTGTTTGGCAGCCTTGAGGGTGGACATGCGCAACGGAAAAAAAAAGGAGAAAGTCATCCGCATGTCGTTTGACTTTCTTTTTAGTATATAAGAATATATGTATGTATATGTGATGTATGTGTATATGTGTATGTATATATATATATATGTATGTATATTTATTTACTTATGTATATATGTATATCCACCCATCGGTCTCTCCGGGAGCTCAGCATCTTGCTGAAGGCGCAGCAGTGACAGATTGGCATGTTCAACAACCTAGGTCAGTACCTATATATTTGTATATATTATATATTTACTTAATGATATATTCCACCCATCGGCCTCTCCGGGAGCTCAGCATCTTGCTGAAGGCGCGCCAAGGACAGCTTGGCATGTTCAACACCCTAGGTCGGTACCTATATATCATATATATATATAACTCTATATTTAAAACTAAATTCATATCATATCACTATATAGTAAATATATATATATATATATATTATTTTTACATCAAATACTAAACCATTGATTTTGGAATGCCATGGGAACATGATGTTTAACCGATGAATTGTCCTGCCTAAGATTCAATCATCGAAAAATATGTTTTACAGTTTTACACATCAAATCAGTTTTCTAAACCGTCGGGATGTCATGGGGAAAATGATGGGTATATAGTGCCCTACTTGGGATTTAATCATCGAAATTTGGTTTGAACCAACTAGTGGGTTATGAGGACCAAAATGTCAATTCCCGTGAGGAAAAAAGTAACCAATAACCAGTGAGTTCAAGGGTGCCCTACTAATGATTTACCATTGAAACCAAAATTTCACAGTCAAAATGACCTTTGAACCATCGAAATTGGAATTAAAATTGGGTTTGCAAAATCATAACCAATGGATTTAGGAGTTTTATTTCGGCTCTAACCAGGTCCAACAATCGAACAGGGATTGGTGGTTTAACCAGTACCGCTTGTATTTTTATGTCTGGTCAATGTTGATCATCTTGGGTGGTGAAATTCAAAACACTGAAGAAACCTTTGGGCTGCATGCTCGCTGGAGCACAATGGGTTTCATGCAGCAAACGGTTTGCCCAAACAGTGATAGATTTTTATTTTTCCAGGTGCCCAACTATATTTTAAATTTGACCCTGTGAGTTTAGGGATGCCGTTTTTTGGACAAACCTCTGCGGCCGCTGTGGCCATCTTCGCAGACAAAAGCCAAGCAGGGGTGTATCCATGCAATGCCTTCGCACCCGTGTTTGATTAAAAAGATGTTTCACCATTTTTGTTGGACCCCACACACTGGAACAGTGGAATGTGGATTATGACTGTCTATAGATTGTTCAACGCCCATGAAACCACAAAATGGTGTCCAGGAAAAATGCAAACTTTCAGGTTTCATTGGGATGCGAAGTCACTGCAAGTTTACAGGGTTTGCGGGTTCCCGCGCTGATGTTTCTGGCTGCAGTTCCTACCTGACTCCGGTGTTGGGAATCCCAGAATCCAGGATCTGCCTGGTGGCATTCCAGGAAGCACCTATCTTATTAATATGAACCCCAGTTCTAAGTTTCCACCCAACTATCTTATTGTTATGAAGAATTTACCCAACTAACTTTACTATCATTAGCCCCAGATCTAAGTTGGTTTCAAAATCCACCCAACTAACTTTATTGTCATGAGAATCCACCCATGTGACTTTTTTATCATGAGCCCCAGGTAGATGTTTGCAGGCCAACTTAGCTAACCAGGACGCCACTTGTCAATAAATGCAGCGGCAAAAAAATACAACCTTTCGAGGTCATCTAAACGTGTTTTTTTCTTGCCCCACAAAATTGGTGTGCACGTTCATCCCAGGTTTAAAAAGCCACCCATGATCAATATCTTTAGCATGTGAGCCAATTAAAATGTTCAGTTGAACCTCATCAATGTTTTGCGTTTGTTCCCCAGGGTTATCCCTCAACTATTAAAAGTAATTTGAATGTTAACCATACAGCTGACGAGGCTTATTTTTCGGCACACATCCCGGGAACCCATGCCCTGCTCACGGGCATGGCCGCAAAGGTGGCCGTGCGAAGATCGCATGCAGCAATTCCTCGGAAGAAGGTGCTCTGGGGTGCAGCGGGCGGTGCAAGACATGATGAGCCCTTTCCACATGTAAGTATGCGTGGAAAGTATACAATTTTTACATGGGGATGTTACTTGCATTGGTTGGGGCTCATCACCACTGGGGTTGGGTGAAGTCTACATTGATACAGCAGAACATTTGTTCAAGGAAGGTTCAGGTCTCTCTCCCATCGGATCCATAGATCATGGCAGTGGTGGTCGCTCCGAATGGCCGGGGTGCTGATGTGGACCAGCCCCGACTTCCCCCACCAGTGCCGAGGGACGATTGGAAGTCTGTAAGATTCTTGGTTGCCACATTTTATCACATTGTGGTCAATGGTAATTTTCACGGAAAAGGTTTTGCTAGTTCTATTTATTTTCTTCTGTGGCCTCATGGATTTCAACACTGAATCCGTCCATGGTTGAAATTCAGGACATGGCAAAGTGCAGTGGACCAAAGAGCAAGTGGATTCTCGACACGGTTTCGGACATGGTGCATGACACCCATCATGAAAACACACATGGTTTCTATATTGCTTATGTAAAAAGATAAGACTGATTATTATATAAGTCTTCGGGTGCTATAATATTAGTTTTCATGGGGCCATGTCCCAAGGCAGCGCTTGCGCAGTCGATGCTGGACAACATCCCCGGACGCGCCAAGTCCCTAATCGTGAGCCACAACTCGATGGCTGGATCACACATGTTGGTTCTGACCGACCCTGACGGACCAACCCGTCCAACCTTTAAGGACACATGATACCCAAAAGATCCCAAAAGACTTTTTCAAAGATCCGAAAAGATCCCAAAAGAGGTTTCAAAAGATCCCAAAAAATCCCAAAAGATCCCAAAAAGGTTTTTCCTTAACGGTGTAAGGAGTTGTGCTTTTGTTGGAAATGTGTTCTTCACAAAAAAAACCTTGGGGGAAAATAACAACAATGGAGGACATTGCCGTCAACTTCGTCTGGCTTAAGCCTTTTGTCGAGGCATTTCCAGACAGGGTGCCGAGTGGGTTTCTGATTTGCGATGTCGTTCTCATGTTGAACGAATTCCTGATGGACAAGCTTCTGTTGCCTGACGACCCGAATACCCCGTTGACCAGAGAAGATCAGGTTGAGATGGCCAAAGAAGAGACCACTAGGATGAAAAAGCTTTTGGGAGCCCTGAGGTATCTATGGCGCAATGGTTCCTCATCAATTATGCCTGCCCCAGGATTTTGTTTTGATGACCTTATATACCACACCTAAACTATGGTGATATTGTTGTATGATTTAAAAGGGTTTGGTTATATGTATATATATATATATTATTTATTTATATATATATATAGGTATATGTGGACATCCCCGGCGCTTACCAGTCCATACTCACTCCCCCACTCAGGACCAGGGTCGCATGACCAGCGCGTCGCAGACTTGAAGGCAATCCTCGTGCCAAGTCCAAGCTCCATTGATCCTTGCTTGGATTCAAAACCGGGTTTCCCAAGGGAATCCACAAGTGCACATTGTTCATATCAAGTCTCCATAGCTATAGGGATGGTGATCTAGGGGTACCCTGGGTGAATATGTTCATGTATTATTGTATATGGTTGATGGGAGAGTTTATGTTTTCTATCTGCCAGTTGTCACATATAATTCAAAAAACGTGCAACAACATTAGAGTTATCTTCTATCTGCCAGTAATTGACTATAATTACACGTCTACCATGTAGGCCCGCAAAGCTGCAGCGGAGAAGGCAAAGGAGGAAGCTGGCAGTGATGATGAAACTTCAGCCCCCGATGGTTCTGGAGAGGAGGTGAGGTTTAAACAAGTATTTTTTCTTGGGGCTTTGATCAGGGTTTACTTTACCCAAAAACCATAATGAAGATATTGTTCAGAACAATTTCAGCTAGGGTGCCTCACTTTGTATCAACTGGCAGGATGAGCCTGATTCCCAGTCAGAGTCAGAGGAAGTTGGAAGTCCCCGATCCGCGGATTCCAAGGGCTCTAGCGTCGTTTTCTCATGCGATGAGTCAACCTATGTGCCTGGTGAAGATGGTGCCATGGCCATGGAGCATGAACAGGACTTGTCGTCTTGCAGCGACATCAGCCCGGAGGACAAAGACATGGATTCTGATTCCGATACTTTGGAGCTCCCAGGAAAGGACCCCATCTCAGTTCAGATTCGCAAGCGTCGTCGCATGAAAAGCATGGACGATGACAAGGACAGGGTTTATAATTATGTTACAAGTGATTCATCCTTTGTATCTTTAGGTGGACATGTCCTTTTACTTTTCCCAAGGATAAACAACACTTTTGGCGAATCCTCATGCATGAGCATGGGGCCAAACCATATTCATGTAGGAATGCGTTGATCGCAGTACTGCAGCCACTTGGTTGCGTTAATTTAGTCCTATGTTATGGGTGTAAAAAAACATGGGGCACCTTTCCATGTGAATCCCATCTCATGACATCTAAGGAGAAATCCATGCGAACAGAATTGGGGATGGTTCACTTACCTCGTGCAAAGATTGCTCTACCACTCAGCTCTTTGAAGTCTGTCCCATTGGACCCACCTGGTTGCTTGCAATCAGTAAGTGAGCATCTAGCAAACGTCCCTTCGCCTTTTGTTGGTCTGCAGGTGCCACAGAGTTTGAGAAAAAAACAATAGGTTATCAACTGAGGAAATGTATATAGAGATTAAGGTATAGCTACCAAGTATATAAATCCCTCATCCACTGCTGCTGTTTCCTCTTCCCATCGCAGGTGAAGGCTCGTGGGGCAAAGAAAGGAGCTGCCAAGGCAGCATCGAAGAAGAAGCCGTCCAAGGGCAAGAAGAAGGCGTCCTTCCGTCGAGGTGGAAAGAAGCAGCCAAAGGTGGCCAATGGATTGGGTTGCCCAGAGGTGGGATATCCAGAACAAATCACGAGGTTCACATATATGTGTTTACTCTTCTATTTAAAGAAAGCATAGTATATAATACCCGAATACACTAACAGTTTGTGGCCTCAGCGGGAAGGATAGCTTCAACTTAGTTCCCCAAAATTGCCCTGCTATAGGAGTACCGTGGCTATGACCTGAAGGAACTGCCCATGTCTGCCCGGCCGCAGCCAAACCGAAAACACCGTGGCTTGCACTCCTACACCGTGAGCACGGCTGTGCGGGATGCCAAATCTAATGAGGTGTGCGAAGTTCTTGTCGATGTGTTGCTGCAGAAAAAGGCATACTATATTAAGAAATGCCCCCCATCGGGAAAGACTGGTAATGTATCTTGGAACAAGATTGGCAATGCAAAGCATGCCTGGGCCGTGGCCATGGACAGAGCACGTTGCGGAAACGTGTTGTGAGAGATCTTCTTTTCAAAACTTGTGGTTTCCCAACGGTGATGAACACCGTTGGATTGTCGTGGACTTAGAATATTAGAAGGTATTTCATGGGGTTAGCTGCAAGTGTGCCAGGCTTCCATATCTGTTTGTCCGGAGTTATACCAGGGAAACTCCAGTGACATGTGCCGAGACTGTTGGGAGCTCCAGCTTGCGTGGCATCGGAAAAAGCAAGTGAAATTGCTTCCAAAGAGGGGTCCCTTTCTTTTGAAACCACCAGGACAACACATTTTCTTTCAAATTTCTATGCCATGAATTCGTGACTTTAGACATTGTTGGATATTACCAAAGCGGTTGTCGATCACCACGGAATCACAAAATGGCCCGATCACCATCATCAGAAAACAATTTCCCCACCACAGCTCTGAGAAACACAGATTTTCAAGTGAATTTGTTTTCACAATCTTGCTTGGTAGCTTGGCCCACAGCCCGGTTCCCCATGCAGGTATCTATATAGCTGTCATTGTATCTGCCTGCAACTTTCCCAGGTAGATAGAATGACATCTATATCGATATGTGCTGAAGTCCTCTGTCGTTTCGATTTGGGAAACGAATTTGCGCCAGGTGCTTGAAAGAACGGATCGAAGATCCATATGCCAAGGCGATCCTGAGCTGGAATCAGGGTCGGATTGGAGAGCTATGCATGTAGTTCTGCTGGGTGTGATTTTGATCTCGAGAGGTTTGATTTTAGGTGTAATATGGTAAAAAATATTGTCTTTAAATTGCCTGGTCATTGCATGGCACTACCATATCTTTAGTCCACAGCCATTTGATCAAATAGGGTTTGGCCAAACGGCTATTTGCCATCATGGGGAAAGGTTGCAAAGCATCAAAGCATGCGGCCACCAACAGGACTAGGGAGGTCATGGGGGACGTGTGCGCTAAGCAGCCTACTTCTTCCTTTCGAGGGAAGCAGAGGAGCACCATTCTCTCAGGGCTGCGTGCGCTTCGGGCACCAGCTGCTACTCATTTCTTGATTTGACTGCTGCCATTTTAGTATCTCATGGGACCCTTGAAAACCATATAAACTAGGTATGTTCTCGAAATTCCGGAAAGTTTATATTCCTTTGTCTTGTGGATTGGGAAAGGGATCAAACCAAAATATGAATGGGTGGCCCCACAAAAAAGTATCATATCAAAATGAATGAATGATTCCAAATGTTCAATTTGGTTTGCAACTTATTGAGACTCAACATGGATGACCGTCGTTCTGTAATCCCAAGGTAATTGGAGTCCTGGTGTGCTTAATCTTCGCCCAGAAGCAGCTTCCCTTCACGGAACCCTTAGATCATCTTGAAGCATTCGCTGGTGAACAGTCGGTGACTTTGGGAGAAATCGAGGACATACCGTTTGGGTGCCAACAAATCATTTCGTATTTGATCTTAAATATATAGTTTTGTGGGTCTTTTTGGATTCTTATAGTTTGCCATCCTTATGGGTCATTGTTTGGATGGCTTATGCAAGCCTTGTTGGTATCCTCCAATATTGTTCTGGTGCCAGGTAAATCCACCTATTTGGGAACTTTGGGATCGTTTTTATTTATGATGTTTAAATCTGGGATTCACCCTCCAACTTTGGGGAGCCTGGGTTGATCGTTTGAGTTTCTGGAGGTCTATGCAAGTATCTAGTTAGTTACACACACATACATATGGGGATGTCTCAAAATGAGGTGTCCGTTTTCCCCCTTAAAGTAGCCATTTTGGAAGCAAAAACGGACACCTCATTTTGAGACATATATATATATATATGCATATGTGTGAAATGCACATATATTGTGTGCAAATCCATGCATGCATGAAAATATTCAAAGCATATGCATGCACATCCACAGGAGTCCCGCAAAGCTGTTGGTCTGGATATCCGAATGGGCCCTGAGCTAGACATTTTGTCTCCGACCGGGTTCTTGCAGCACATCTACCAGCTCTGCCGTGTGAAACCAGGTTCAGGGTTCTTAGGAGCTCCAGTCTGTTCAACCTTTGTAGTGGTGAGCCTTATCTTGAAGTTGGATTTTTGACAGTTTAGTTCACATGCCAAGTTCCTATGTGGGCTCAGCTGGCACTTTTCCATTCAAATGAGTCACCATGTTACTGAACCCACAAAATCCTTCCACCACCCATCTCCATCAAAGTGTTTGGCATGTTTTGATTTAGACATCTAAAATTTAAAGTGCAGACCATCCCATAAACAGGCACCGGGATTCTCCAGCATGCCAAGGAACAGAGGAACATCTCGTCGTACGCGCCTTCGGCCATGTGGCGAGGAGAGGCACCAGTCAGTGAGGGAAGGAAACTGGATAGCTTGTAGAACCTTGATTCTATGCTACATAGCAGCAGCCCTTCAACTATGGTGGGTAGTGGAGCAGCCAGTGAACTCGTTCATGCAGGAGCTGCCAGCATGGAAGTTCTTTATGAAGCAGGTAAAGACTTACCGCTATTCCCTAAATATGGAGGATTATGGAGGCCCTACAAAAAAGCCCACATGGCTGTATTCAGGACTCTCAGATATGTTTCCTCAACTTTTAGTTCATAGAAGCATAACTAACTATTTGTAAAGAGGTGTTGGTATTCTATGGGAGTATCTTATATGTTAAACTTGCAGTTTTTGACCCAAAACAATGGCATAAAAGTATCGTTGACCTGTATTAGCTCATGTTGATTGGTGTTTTCGATCTGGTCTTATGACATTTCAAATGCTTGAATTTTCAAATAGGCTTCGGGCCCATGATTGTGCCACTGTTGACACCTTCAACTATTAAGGAAGAAAGGAGATCGAAGACCTACCCCTATACAAGCCTTTGCCACATCAACTCCCCAAGCGGGAATCGAAAGAGATGGTGACTTACTACGAAGACTCCAATGGTGTTGCCAGATTTGCTGGTGGAAAAGATCTCAAGAGTTCCCAATCCTACCCAAGGCAGTTCCTTGGATCCTTTTGTTGAGAATGTATCTCCAGGGTAAACTTATTATATGTCTCAAAATATCGGATCCCAAAACTTTATATATAAGTTTCGGGGTTCCCATATTTCAAACCATTACCATAATCACAGAAGGTATCTCAAATTCGATCCAACATTTCGCAGCCCACTCGCATTATGCGCAGCCTGTCCATGGTGTGCATGATGCCGTTTTGGCCGTGCTCCTGAGGTTTGGCCGTGCTTTGGCTCGTCTCCGCTCCCAGTACCAGGAGGAAGTCAAAAGAGATGCAAAACGAGTGATCAAACACAACTTGAAGCAGACCAAGTCCACCCTAGACTTCAAAGCGTCTCACAAGTGGATCAAATGGGCTAACCTCCAGCCTGTGCTGGATTGTTTGTTGAATCCCTAAGCCTCAACATGGCTGAGTTGTTTCATACTTAATTCCGGCTATGCTGTGTGAATCCACACTTTTCTCATGGCCAAAGCGAAATTTCGACATGGGTGTGCATTTGCAAATGGGAAAATGCACCTCACATATGTTTATATGTTTTGTTTCCTCACAGTGGACCTCTGTTCCTGAATTCCCTTTCCATTTACCATGCGACCCTTTCCCAGCTGCAGCTGCAACCGGAGGCTGGTCCTGAAGCGCCATCTTCCAGCCAAAAGGCTGAAAGGCGCCATCCTTCCCATGCCTCATGATGCCATGCAGGTGTGCATCCCCAATTCGTTTTTCCAACTTTTTTTCGTTTTTTTTTCCAAAATTTATCTAAATTCAGCCCTGGCTGGGAGAGAATTCAGCCGAGAATTGGAGAGAACAGCCGAGAATTGGAGAGAATGTGATTTTTCATATTTTCTCCAAAGAAATATTATATAGGAATCTTTTTGCATACATATGGGAACAGCTAATCAGCCGAGAATTGGAGAGAATGTGATTTTTCATATTTTCTCCCTAGGAATCTTTTTGCATACATGTGGGAACAGCTAATCAGCCGAGAATTGGAGAGAATGTGATTTTTCATATTCTCTCCAAAGAAATATTATATAGGAATCTTTTTGCATACATATGGGAACAGCTAATCAGCCGAGAACTGGAGAGTATCTAGTCAAAGCTATTTTGGCTTATGCTGTGCAGAGATGGCAAAGACAAGGAAATCTGCACTTGTGCCTGCTACAAGGGTCAAAGGCAAGTCTTCTTTGGATACTGGCAAGGCCCGAAAAGTTACCTGGGAGGAGAAAAAGCCGAAAGACATGAAGAAGGTTCAGAAGAAAGAGAAGCAGAGGAGCACGGCCAAGAAGACCAGCAAGGAGAAGGAGAAGGATCAGAAAGCAAAGCGCAAGGAGCAGGAAAAGAAGAGAGAGCTTGTTAAGAAGAATCAGGAGAAAAAAGAAAACAAAGAACAGGCCAAGAAAGACAAGAAGGCCAAGGAGGCCAAGGAGGCCAAGGAGGCCAAGGAGGCGAAGGAGGCCAAGGAGGCCAAGGAGGCCAAGCAGGCAAAGGATGCAAAGGAGGCCAAGCAGGCCAAGGAGGCCAAGGAGAAGAAAAGAGAGAAGGAGGAAAAGGAGGAACAGGAGATGAGAAAGAGAGACAAGAAGAGTGCAAGCAAGACAGAGAAGCTGAAGAAGAGAAAAGCTTCTGAAACACCTACGAGCTGTGGAGGAAGTGTTATTGTCACTCCACCCCCTACAAGACGTCTTGAGACCCCGTCCGAGGACATCTTCTCACCACCTGCTGCTGTGCCCCCAGCTGATCTGTCAGACTTGGAAAATGATCAGAGGCTGGCGAAGTTGAAAGGTCTGACCTTGGAAGAACACCTGAATGAGCTTTCCGAGAGAGAGATCGAAAAGCACATGCAGGAACTTGTGGCTGAGCAAGAAGCGAAGAAAAAACAAGAGACAGACACAGCAGCGCAAGACGATGCTTCGATCGATGATGACTCTGATGAGGAAGAGCCAGAAGATTCGCCTATGGAAGATGAAGAAGAGAAGGATGAGGAGTTGGGAGAAGATGGGGGAGAAGATGATGAAAGTCTGCCAGTTTCTTCTGAAGGTTCGAATGATGATGATGATTCCTCATCGGATTCCAGCAGCAATGAGAGCGCCAGTGACCCAGATGAACAGGATCCCAGCGGAGAGACAGGGAAAGATCACCAGGTGGCAAAGCTTGCTGAAGGAGCAGTTGTGGTTGCAGAGAAGCAGATGGAAACAAAGAAGAAAGCAAACAGCACCTCGGCCTATTGGATAAAAAAAATCACATTCCTGCCATTTCCTGCCTACTTTACATATCCTTTCCTTCACATATCGCATTCCTGATACTTACATATTTCTTTATTAGTTGTATACATGTAATTATATATATATATATATCTCTCTCTCTCTCTCTTCTATGCTCTCCCTGGTCCTCTGGTCCTCCAATCACTTGAGTGTTCCTTCTTGGGTTTCTCTATCTCAGGTACGACCCACAAGAAGGAGTGGGACAAGTTCAGCCGCCAAGTTCTGGACCGGCAGAAGTTCCCGGCATCGCTTGCGTCGTATTGTTTGCAGTCGAAGACGGACTTGTTCAACGAGTGGTTGGAATGCAGTCAAGATTGGTCTCGGGTTGAGTTGAACTACCAGAGAAAAGTGTCAACAAACAACAAGTACAAGAAGGGCAGACGTGGAATGAAGCCCCGTGAAATCATTGAGCGTTATGGAGAGGAGAACCTAGGTTATATTTCAAAAGTCTACTTTTGATGCTTTTTCGTTATGACATCAAGACTTCAAACCAACATTTCATGGCAAAATCGGTTGTTAGTTCAAAGCGCCATCTCAGGAAAGGGAAGGCCTTAATGGCCAAACTGAAGACCAAAGAGATGTATGAGGAAGACGAAGACTTCCCCAAAGACGAGGAGGCATCCCAGCAGTTCGCAATTTTGATTCTTGAGATCCTATTCTATCTAGATCTATATATATATATACACATACACAGATATTTACATTTATCTGATGTATATATTGACAGTTTCTTTGTGTACTCTTATTTGCATTCACCACATCAGGTTTCATATGTTCTTGTACTTTCCCATGATGGTTTCCTCATGTCAAGCGTCATGAACCTTCTCTGCCTTGGTTCCACACCCTTCCGCCTCCCACCCAATCACGCCAGGAATACTGGTACTACGTTGGGCAAGGAGGAGAAATCTCAAGGACAACTGGGGTTGAGGACAGCACAAGTCTCAACATCAGGGACAAGAAGCCGAACAAAGAGATGGTCGTGGCTTTGTCCGGTCCAGGTGGGCCACTGGGCGCCGGAGCAATGCCCAGGGTTGGAAGAACCAGTGAAGCAGGTGAGAAGGCGATCATAGAGGCTTTGACTGATGGGACTGTCAGCAAAGTCAAGAAAGAAAAACCAAAGAAGGCAGAGAAGACAGCAACGGCAGAAGAGATGGGACCAAAGTCGAAACAGCAGGAGGCAGTTGAGAAGAAAGAGGATGTGCTGAAGAATGCAACTGAGGCAAGAAAATATGGCCTGGCTCTGAAGCACCTGGACTATTCAGGTGAATTGGTGCAAGGTCTCATGGCCTTCTCAACGAAGATGGAGAAAATCTACGAGACAATTCTCACAATGGTCTCTTCTGGGGAGACTGATGACCAAGAGTGGAACAAGATCTTGGACGCAGTTGATGCCCAAATGCAGTGGTACCAACAAGCTGAGGCGGGGTATGGCATGGGTTCTCAAACCCAAAATGTAATTTGGGGCAACACGATGCTAACCATATGTATTCACAGTTCACGCCATTATTGGGACCTCAAATCCGTTGAATGTCACGAGTGGCACTTCAGAGAACCTTTGAAAGAAAATAATGCTGACCATATGTGCTCATATCTCGGTGTCAGAACCTTTGGAACAAAATGATGTTGACGATATGTATCCACATCTCACACCATGATTGACATTTCAGAAAGGTTAATTATCGTGAAAGTTTTCCGAAACCATCAGAACAAGTGATGTAAACTCAAATCATCATATGGATTCACAGCTCTTGCCATGATCAACATGTTCACCATCGCTCTCCACTGCCCTCATCTTTCGCAGTCTGCCGCCAAAGCACTCCAGAGCGCCAAGAACAAGCCAAAGAAGGAAAAGGCAGCAAAGGCAAAGGCCAAGGTTGCTGCTGAGAAGTGAGTGATCCTGCGGGCTGAACTGTTTGGGCCAGCTTTTGTTTTGTCGTCCAAAAATCCTGAAACGGATTAGGGGGTGATGACAGCCTATGCATAGAACCCATGCAGCTTCGAGTTTGTGTTTTCCAAATTTACATGGCAACGCGTGCCACTATCTAGGATCTTTGTGGCGCTTCGGGATTTGCAGCGAAGAGCAAAACAGGTTGTTTTGCAGCTCTCTAGATTGTCAGGCTCCCAAATCAACATGACATGAAAGGTAAATTGACATCAAGTCTTTTCTATGTTTTCCCATGTGTTCAACTTTTATGGGTCCGACTTCAGAACTTGCTCGTGTTTCGCAGCACCCCTTGGTCCCAGCTTCCTCTGCAGCAGCTTCCCAACGCAGGTGGCAGCTAAAACCCAAGGCCTGCCCAGAGCAGGAGGCACGAAGTGCCCATGTGACTTTAGGGAAACCGGTTTGTCAATGTTTCAGGGGCTCATGCAGCAAGACTCAAGTTTTGTCCCTTGAAAAAATGTCACTGTTAAGGCCAAGAACGGTGAGATATGAGTCCCTGCCCTATAGCGAATGTGCTAACATGGCTCTGTGCAACATGGCAGAATCTAGAACAAGTTAAGACACCAAAAAAATCCTTGTTTTAATCCCACATGCTTCACACCCTTGCTCAGCATCTCAGGTATGATTGGGTCAGGGAGAACATCCATAGCAGCGGCTTCAGACTTGTCAAGGGCATGTGTGAAAGATATGGGCAATGCTGCGCCAGCGGCCGTCCATGCACTAGCATCTTTGGGGTCTTGGGGTTCCCACAGCCAAAATCAAGAACGCGATTTACATAAATGGGCGAACCAGTTATACAACATGAACCTGCAGACTTATGATGCTCAAATCCCCCTACAGGCCCAGGCGTAAGAAAACGTGTTGATAAATGTTTTCAAATAAAGTCTGCATACTTGTTGGCCACATTGCAGCTTTGATCCCCCTGAAGGCAGAGAACGAAACCGGAGTTGTGGACACACTGATTCCTTTTCTCCTTCCACATGAAATATTTGAAGCACTTTCTGCTGCCGGAAAATATCAGGTGAGGTATCTGTGATCATACATGATGAGCTATGGTATGCCAACAAGACCATGAACCCATTGTTTGCAGTGTCTCCATCCTTTCCACCAAACCACTCTTTCGGCCTTGTTCTCGTTGGCAGTTCAACCTCTCCATGACTGGCGGCCGGTCTGGACCTGAAATTGCGGCTTTCTGGGACCATTGCTTCCAGCAGGAGGAATGGAGGAACCACCCTGCAAGGTTCTTGCCCTATGTCAAAAGGGATAGAAGCCTGTTTGCAATCAACAATGATGAGAACCATTGTATCTCATTGGGTTATTGCTTGTCATTTCTTTACAGTGTGAGTTTTCAAAGGATTGATTCCCATCGCATTCCACATTGATGGAGCCGAATTCTATTCCAATTCGGAGTCCTATGTGTGGAGCATTGGCAGCACCTTTCCAACTGGAGATGTTTCTCGAAAAGTTCAACCGTTTTAGATTTTGATCACAAGATGTATCAGTTCAAAACCAAAGGTAAACAGTTTTAACAGTTTTAGATGGCAGCTTAGCAATCCCCTTTTGACTCTTATCAGCCCCCGTGACCAGGTTTGGGATGTGAAGTTCCCGATGTGTATAGTGCCCCACTCGTGGATGCAAGACAAGCAGGCCTGCAACCTAGCCCACTTGACACACTTACCCAGTCTAATCAAAGGTTTGATATGGGTCCCTCTGTAAACAAGTGGATGGCACAAATGTATTTGGAAGTTTGGGTCTTCAGGGCATCCCCCAATGTACGGAAAGCCACCACCAAGACATTGGAGTTTGTCTCAAAAAAAACACCCCTAAACATATGGATTAAAAAATGCAGTTTGATGGTATGCCATATATTCTGAGAAACACCCATTTCCTGTTTTATTGCAGCTATACCCGGAATATCACTGGTTATATTTTGTTTCATGGTTTGTCATTACCAAGAAAATCACATGTTTAAAACTCGGGTCTGATCAGCTGTGGTTGTATCCACCTATGAACCTCTACTATATCCGCTGTCAAAATCAGTTGAATCTCTTGAGGTGAAAGATGAATGCCATCGGCTAGTGGCAACAATAGCTACTTGGTCAATGCGATGCGCCTTGAAAGGCAAGGCTCCTGTTACTGGTCCATTTGGAGAACCCTTGACAAAAACCAAGCAGAACGTGGGGGCCAGCCCTTATCCTACAATGGGTATTTGTTTGCTTATTTCGGCTTTAGAGCCGATGCCAAAGCCCGGAAAGAATGCCACAAGTTTGAAAGGAATTATCAGTGCAATCAGATTTGCGAGGTTTGCTTGGCAGAGCGACCCAACAAGTATGGTGACCCTGCTTTGACTTTCAAAAATTTCTACTCGGATGCAGCTCACCTTTTGACCAGTCTTACTCATGCAGAATATCTGGCCACTTCGAACCATCAAAGCCCTTGGGAGAACATGCCTGGGTTTCACGTGAAGTCTTGTTTCAGGGATCCAATGCACACGCTGTTCCTTGGAACTGCCAAAGATTTACTTGCATCTTGCTTGGGCCTTTGGTGTCGCAATGGGTACATCGAGGGGCCTAACCTAGCAGAACAGCTTCGATGGGTGTCTGCCACACAGAGGGAGTATTGCAAAGCTGCAGGTTTGAGGGCAACTTTCAAAACATTCACGCCAGCAAACACAAATTTGGACAAACGATCAGAGTTTCCTGAGATCGGGTCTGCCTTCAAGGCAGCAACCATCAAGACCAGCATATGGTTCTTTGCGAAACTGTCAAGTGAGATCGCTGCTTCAAACCCTGAGGTTCTGGTGGAAAAAATGTTGTTTTTTAGCTACATTCTACCGAAATGATTTTTTCCGGAACCATTTTGTAGACCCTTGTGTAGACAGTTAGTTCTCCTTACCCCTGCTAGGATCAACAGCTGCAGTTGGTGGCAACATGCCTTTGGAATCTTCAAAAATCGTTGGAGATATTGGATCACAACGACATCATCCTGCCCACTTATGATGCCAAGGTGGCCAAGAGTACCAAATTCAACTATGTAGAAGTTCAGATGCCCTTCCTTACATACGCACCATCCTGGTTTTGATTCCTGTTGCAAAGCACCAGTTCGATTCAAGTTGGGGGATCCTGCTGCAGGCCTACAACGCGTGCGTGGTTGAACATCTGAAGTGCTGGCAGCACTTGGCTCACCAGTGTGCAAGGGACAACATTTTTTTGTTCAGACTCCGCCCAAAGGGGCACTATCACCAGCACATGGGACGTGATGTTGAAAGGACACGACTAAACCCAAGACTTGTCATGTCCTGCATGTATGACGAAAGTTTTCTAGGCCACATAAAGCGAATAGCAAAGGCCTGCCACTCCTGGACAATGGTTAAGGAACGTTTTTGGCAACGCTATTTGTTGCTATTGTCCTTGCGCTTCGAAGAACATCGAAGCTGCTCCCGGTGAGCCTTGAAACTGGGGTCCCAGGCTCAAAAAAAGTTCTGCTCCATCACCACCGCCGCAGCCGCACCGACCGCAGGGGATGTGACAGACCATCCTTTCTTTTCAGATTTCATTTCCTTTGTGGACTATGTGTTGGATAAACTATATGGAGGTTTCCTAAAATGGCGGTACCACGAAAGAATCCATTTAATGGGATTATCCATTATAAACCATCCATTTTGGGTACTTCATACAATATATATTATCAATTCAGATTCATCTGTTTTCGGGAAACAATCTTTGTGGTTGTGAAAATTTATTCACCAGTGGGCCAACACCAAAAAAAAAATGGTATAATATATATATATATGCCATTGTCCATTTTGTGCATTCATTGGGTTTTGTAACTATATAACTATACCCCGTAACAAGGTAACCGCCGAATGGCGAGGGATCAAAAAAGGTGTATTAGATTATTGGGGAATTACCTGTGTGGAAAGGATCGTCATCCACCGTTGCCATCAGCCAGGCGGCTGGCCAAACTATACCATGCAACCCAAAGGATTTGTTTGTGTGAAACCATTTTTTTGCATTTGGCGTTCAACCTTTGGGAATGGTTGGACCAAAACAACATCCCAACTTCTTTTTGGGTGTTTGACGCTACCATGATGGCAATTATAAGGGCCTTCATGCACCAACCCCTTGGGTAAAAGTATCACATAGTTTTAGGCTTATGGTTTTGCAATTGCCAAGGTTTTCCCCATGTATAACACTGCACCCCCAAGTATATATTATGCAAAATATACGCATACACATACGCACACATACACATACACACATACACACATACACACATACACACATACACACATACACACATACATATACATACACATACATACATACATACATACATACATACATACATACAGACATACATACATATTACATGTTACATATATATGTATATATGTATATATGTAAATATGTATATATGTATATATGTATATATGTATATATGTATATTTGCATATATGTATATGTATGCATGTATATATATATATATATATGTGTGTGTGTGCGTGTGTGTTCCCGAATAGGCTTGAAAATGGCTTTGACCATGCAGTTGGCCATGCAAGCCCACGCCCAACTGCGAAAGCTCTGGCCCAAGCTTGATGTTGGCCCTGCTGGACAGAGGGTCCAAAGCATACAAAGATGTATGTCTGCCTGGCACCGTCGCCGTTACGGTCCATGATCCAAAACCCTAAACACAATGTCGTCTGCCTGCGCAGAACCGAAGGCGCATTTAGGGTTTAAGGCCTGCAACCTTAAACTTTCAATTTCAAAACCTTTGAAGATCATCATCTTCAGATCCCAAACCCTAAACACAATGTCGTCTGTCTGGCAGAGCCGAAGGCGCATTTAGGGTTTAAGGCCTGCAACCTTAGACCTTCAGTTTGGAAACCTTTGAAGATCATTATCTTCAGATCCCAAACCCTAAACACAATGTCGTCTGTCTGGCAGAGCCGAAGACGCATTTAGGGTTTAAGGCCTGCAACCTTAAACTTTCAATTTCAAAACCTTTGAAGATCATTATCTTCAGATCCCAAACCCTAAACACAATGTCGTCTGTCTGGCAGAGCCGAAGGCGCATTTAGGGTTTAAGGCCTGCAACCTTAGAGCCTTAGAGCTTCAGTTTGGTGAACCTTTGAAGATCATTACCTTCAGATCCCAAACCCTAAACACAATGTCGTCTGTCCGGCAGCGCCGAAGGCGCATTTAGGGTTTAAGGCCTGCAACCTTACAGCTTCAGTTTGGAAACCTTTGAAGATCATTATCTTCAGATCCCAAACCCTAAACACAATGTCGTCTGTCTGGCAGAGCCGAAGGCGCATTTAGGGTTTAAGGCCTGCAACCTTAGAGCTTCAGTTTGGAAACCTTTGAAGATCATTATCTTCAGATCCCAAACCCTAAACACAATGTCGTCTGTCTGGCAGAGCCGAAGGCGCATTTAGGGTTTAAGGCCTGCAACCTTAAACTTTCAATTTCAAAACCTTTGAAGATCATCATCTTCAGATCCCAAACCCTAAACACAATGTCGTCTGTCTGGCAGAGCCGAAGACGCATTTAGGGTTTAAGGCCTGCAACCTTACAGCTTCAGTTTGGGGAACTTTTGAAGATCATTATCTTCAGATCCCAAACCCTAAACACAATGTCGTCTGTCTGGCAGAGCCGAAGGCGCATTTAGGGTTTAAAGAGCCGAAGGCGCATTTAGGGTTTAAAGCCTGCAACCTGAGAGCCTTAGAGCTTCCGTTTGGTGAACCTTTGAAGATCATTACCTTCAGATCCCAAACCCTAAACACAATGTCGTCTGTCAGGCAGAGCCGAAGGCGCATTTAGGGTTTAAGGCCTGCAACCTTAAACTTTCAATTTCAAAACCTTTGAAGATCATCATCTTCATGATCCCAAACCCTAAACACAATGTCGTCTGTCTGGCAGAGCCGAAGACGCATTTAGGGTTTAAGGCCTGCAACCTTACAGCTTCAGTTTGGGGAACTTTTGAAGGTCATTATCTTCAGATCCCAAACCCTAAACACAATGTCGTCTGTCTGGCAGAGCCGAAGGCGCATTTAGGGTTTAAGGCCTGCAACCTTACAGCTTCAGTTTGGAAACCTTTGAAGATCATTATCTTCAGATCCCAAACCCTAAACACAATGTCGTCTGTCTGGCAGAACCGAAGGCGCATTTAGGGTTAAGGCCTTGCAATCTCAGACCTTCAGATCTCATGCCCTAAACACAATGTCGTCTGCCTGGCACAGCGCATTTATGGCTGAAGGCCTGCAACCTTAAACCTTCAAATTAGAAACCTTCGAAGATCATCATCTTCAGGTCACAAACCTTATAAACACAATGTCATCTGTCTGGCACAACCGAAGGCGCAGTTAGGGTTTGGCATCCTTTCGCTTTCAGCCTGGAAACCCTTGAAGAGCATCTCTTCTGCAGATTGCAAACATTTAAGCTTGGACGTGCAGCTTGTCAACTTTCAAGGATCATTATCTATATTATTGTGGCATGCTGGCTGGTTTATGTGGTTTGGATATATAACTTTTGATCATGCTACCTTCTTGTGGGCTACCGACAGCTGTTTGCATAAACAGCTGTTGTTTGTAGAATCAGCTGTCCAAAAGAAAGCGTTAGAGCCTTACGGTGGCTGGACTCCAGGCAAAGAATTTCAAGTTGTTGCGTTCCAAGCTGTCAATGCTGAACCCTTGGATGGTGAGACGATCCACAAAGCTCTCGGGCTGTCGTGGCACGGCAACGATCACAACGTTGCTGGCCAACGGATTCTCGATCTGGCGCGGCAAGCCGTGCAGTGGCGCTGGCTTCTTCTCGACGAAATCAGCATGGTGAGTGCTGAGATGTTAGCGCGTTCGAAGCTCGCTGTCGGCAACTTGTTTTAGATCTATCTGCCACAAAATATGGCAAACATACCCCTAACTGCATTGCGCCCTTCGGTGGCCTCAATGTCATTCTCTCAGGCGACCTGTGGCAGCTACCTCCACCACGTGGAACGTTTCTCGGTCAAATTCCCTGGCACCTTGTGACAGGCGTCCCATCTAAGAAGTTGCCACTAAGCTTGCAAGGCCAGCAGATCGTATGGGCCTCCAGCGTACAAGGTGGCCTACACGGAGTTTCAGAACTAATACGGTGCGAACGAACGCAAGATGTCTGGTTGCAGGAGCTACAAGCCGAACTTCGCGTCGGACGCTTATCCGAAGACAACCATGCATTCCTACATGGCCGACCCACAAGAGTTCCGGGAAGCTGGTGCGCAACAACGCAGCAGCCTACCTGCGGAGAAAATGCATGCTATCGCTTGTACAAGCACGGTTCCACAGCGACGACGATTCTCAAGTACGAATGTCGAATCTGTCACGCTGAACGGGAGACTAAGCGTTTAGTTGCAGTGGATCCAGACGATCCTCGGTTTGCGGAGGGTTTTACCTTGGCCCGAGGAATTTTCCATACGAACGGGGTGAAGTGCCACGTAAACAAATTGCGCGCGGAACAATGGGCGCGACAGCGCGGGCAAGTCATTTACTATGCAGTGGCTATGGACAAAGTTTCATCGCGAGCTTTGCACGAGAAACCCGACATCGCCCACGACAAGCTCACGTGGCTGCAGCGCAGCGACGCCGACTGCGGCAACCGGTACGGCGTCCTTCCGCTGTGCGTTGGTATGCCAGTGCAAGCACGAGAGCATCTCTACCGAAAGGAGTTCAAGATTTTGAAAGGGTGCCATGGAACAGTCTGCGGGTGGTCTCGCGTTGAAACAGACACAGCGTCGGCAGACGGAGCCACAATTTGGAACAAACTTCCTGAATATATTTTTGTGCGTTTTGAAACACGAACACGCTGGACAATTCCAGGAATCGATCAAGAGAACGTCTTCCCGGTCAGCGTGCAAAGTGGAATGTGGTTTTTGGACGCGGGCCGCGCCAACCCACAATTGAAAGTGACTCGTTACCAGTTTCCAATCGCGCCCGACTTCGCCGACACGTTCTACGGCGCGCAAGGAAGCACAATAGAGCCGGGCGTGATCGTCGACATGATCGGTGCTGACCCAATAGCGGCGTACATTGGGATGACACGCTGCCG